AAATATATTTGACCAAATCTAAGCCCATATATACATTGTCATGGTTAGAGGGAATGAGGAGCGGAACAAAAAAGGTTTTAACAAAAAGTGTCCTATAATAAAGGCAGGGCTCAAACTAAATCCAAAATAACAGTAAACTCGAGAATGCTTTCAGCAAAAACAAGGCAGACACTAGGAGACACTGGAGAACTTACATGAGGGACTGAGGGAGGGGAAACAACGACAAGGTGGTGAGTCGACCACATAAGACGACAACAAACAGAACAAGGGAAGCACAGAGACTTAAATACTCGGAACTGATGACAAGAGACAGGTGGCACAGGACAATCTGCTGAAACTAACGAAGTCCAGGTGGGAAACACACAAGAAGCAGAAACTACAAAATAAAACAGGAAACAGAGAAGAGCACAATGAAACACAGAGTGGGACACAAAAAGGAACACAGAGTGGAACAAGGAAAACACACGTCATGACATACATATTAACAGCCACCCAAAACACTATGATACTTGCATTGCACACCATTTGCATTTTCGGTTCCTCTTACTATAAACAATTAATACAAATCATATCAAATTAAAGTCCCTTTTTCATCTCTGTGCACACTATTTTCTTTTTCCTTTTTGAAAATGCACAATGAGTGCATAACACGCAGACTTGACAGAAAAATTTACTACACAATAATTTCTAATGCAATCCAACGTATAATAGTACCACAATTACATTGCGCATTCAGACTCTCATCAAAAGTCTGCTCACCTGTGGGGTCGCTCTCACCGAGACGTGCTGCATCCTGCTCCCTCAGGTTATAAATAAAAATGTTCTGCCTCTGTAAAGGAGCAGTCTCTAGTGTGTCACTTTCATGAATGAAGAAGGAAACAGGAACATATTGAAAACAAAACCTACAGCTCTGAAGTCTCATGACGGAGCTGAGGTTGGCTGGAATGAAGGCTGAATATCTTGGATCTCATGCTGTCTCAACACCTCTGAATGGAGAATAAATGTGATGAAATGAGCTGTGATGGTGAATGGTTTGTATTTATATAGAGCTTTTCTAGTCTTGAAGACCACTCAATGAGCTTCACAGTACAGTTTGCATTCATAGTATGCTGATGTTAAATTGTGAGGGCTCGTGAAATGAGTCTCTGAAAACTGAAGGGGACAGAGGATTAATTATTTTCTCTCCACCTCCCCTTCCTCTCAACCAAACCTTGACTTTATGCAAATGTGGAATATTGAGATTCCTAAGGTAGTTCAAAGAAAATAAACTTTTTCAGTCATATATTAAGAGTTTTAGGCTTGATTTGTTTTCTGATGAGGGTGTGCTCTGTCAAAAAGTATTTGGTAGATATCCTTCTTTTCCTACTGGGCTATTTTTTAATCTTTTCTTTGTTAATTGCAAATCAACAAATAAATGAAAAATAAATTGGTCAAGAAATACTTTAAAGTTAGGGCAGATCATTTGTTTCTGAAACACTTTTGTATTTGTTGAAATCCTCTTCATTTCCCAATAGCCATCAATAAATTAAATCCTGTGGCCCCAATAATTTTATTTAGCACAAATTAAATGATTGGCTATAGTACATAGCTGCGTGTGTATTTACTGTGCACAGACATAGTCTTCACGAGCTGGAGAGACATACACACCGCTGAAGCAGAGATGATAACTAGAAGTTAGCAAGTGTCCAAGTCAGCTTCTAGCTGTTGTCAGACAGTGCACGTTCATGTGTTTTGGGGTAAAACTTAAACAAGAGGGCTGATGGGAGTCGGCGGAGTGTATTGATTGCATTTTTGGAAGTGTAGCCTGCTATGCTATCTTTTCAGGATTACCAACCCTTGCTTTAACCTTCAGTTTGGATCTTGTTAGCGACAGAAGGCTTCATATGTATATATATATTATATGTTTTATCCAATTCAATTATTTTATTTCTATAGCATCAAATCATATCATACAATATCTCAAGGCACTTTACATTGTAGGGTTGAGACCTTACACAGTTTTGGGGAGGAAACCAACAGTTTCCACAAAGAGCAACATTATAGCAGCTGATATAAAGCTTTTGCAGAAAAGTTCCTGGAACTGCTGCTGCTGATCCCTCCTTCTTACAGTTTGCTGGTATGAAAATCAATTTGCTATATAACAGTTCATATTATCTCTATACTTATTCTGCTCATTTGTAGAGTGAATTCAAATGACAGGGCTTTTTTGTTGGATTTGGGGGGTGACAATGCTGCCTTAATTGACAGTGGAGTCGAGAATTCCCTTCACTCCTCTCTCCCACACATAACATCTCTACCTCCCCCCCACGCTCATCTGCTTCACATCTTCTCAATCTACCTTCATCGTCCCTCTTTGTTCTCATTCATCTCCCTTTCATCTTTACTCTGTGGGATTTGTGTTTTGTGTGATGAACATTTTTCTGTTATTTTTGCTTCATTAAATCTGAACAGTGAAGATATTCCAACACTGAAGTCAAGTCAGACTTGTAGCACATTAAAGAGCTGAACCTGTACCTGTATGATCTAGTCATTATTTTACCAGCCTCATGTGCAAAAACCAATGCAAGAAGCACGTGTGTGTGCATGACTAAATGTTCAAGGTTCACAGTGAAGACATTCAATGTCATGCAGTCAGAAAGAAAAAAGTCGTTTACATCTTTAAATTATTCTTTTTTTCCAGAAAATGCACAAACTCGTTTTCACAGGAATAGCAAGCAAATCCAAATGTCCTTTCATACCCCCAAACAATTTTGTTTCTTGTGCTGAACTTCAATCATTCTCCCAATGATACTGTATTCAACCAGATTCTGACATGTATTAAAGTAGTCAACCTAGTTCAGCTTAGTCACACAAAACCAGTATTGCTCTTTAATAATACTTTTATAGGCAGCCATTTTCAGTGAACAACATCAGACAAATCACGTCTATTCTATTTACAATGGCAGAGATGATGGAAACAAATGACAAGCTGGTGAAGAAAGAGAAACATTAAGCAGCTTAGACAGAGACACTTTCAGCGTGAAGATAATGTGACTTTGTGTCTTCTACACACACAATAAGCAATTTCTTGCTAAAACATTGGTAATTAAACCTTCATAAAGAAGATGGCAAATCAAAGCAGTGCCTGTGACTTGCAGAATGAAGTGAAATGACTGGAAGCAAAAGGAATCTCTTATAAAGAGAGATTATTCAGTGTTTGTCCAGCAGCTACAGAGGACACAAGTGTCAATTAAAAGATGATGAACATTTCTTTTTTAGGATTGTATTGAGTCATTTGCCTGAAAGACATTATTATTAGCTGATGTTAGAGGCAGAAGGATGGAACCACTAGTGGTAAGCAGTAAACAGGTCTTGTAGTGAGCTGCATTCAGTTTGCTTACAGTTTATGTTGCATTACAAACCTGGGGTCTGACCAGTGACTGTATAAAGATGGACAAGGCGTTTCCACATCCTCATGGGCAACAGTTAGGCCAAAATATCCCAGACACAGGCGCTGCCATTTAGCACTGGTGATGCCGTTGTGAGCCAGTCTGTCCTAATTGTGGAAAGGAGTTGCAGGTCGTTATACAACTGTCTGGCCAATCATGAGTCAGTCTCAGCTGTCAATCATGATGTCTCACTGAACGAAAAAATGAAAAAAGTAACTAATTACAACAAAATGTATCAGAAACATGAACACTAGAATGGTTTGTGTGATAAGAAGTACCTAAAATGACAGGACCCATCTTTAGGAGGTTTGATTGAATTATTTTTGTATTTTTTATGGCTGTCAATTCTTCCAAAAATTAAGTTTAAACAAATTTGATATGGCACATAATTTATTCTAATATATTCAGACGGCTTTGCTTTCTAGGGTTGTCATGTTCAAAGCAAAACAACATAACATACCTGCTTTCTTTACTGACAGGCAAAAGATCCAGCTGACACACACACACACACACACACACACACACACACAAACAAAGTGGGGATCAATTTGGCTTCACTTCTGCTAGAATGACCATGGCCTGTTAAGGGGCCATAAACTACCTCTGCCATTGTAAATAAAGTGCAGACATGATTTGTCTGAGGTGGTTCACTGAAAATTATATAGCACTTTTTTAGTTTTGATGATAAGTCAAAGCAGTTTTGTCATCCACCCATTCACAGACACATTCATACAGTGCATGTACGTATAGTGCTTTCTCTGTCATACACAAATACACTCATTCACTGCCGACACAGCAGTCGGGGGCAATTTGAGACTGGGATTGAACTGCCAACCTTAGACTGCAAATAGGAGCAAGAACATCTCAGCCAAAGATGTTTTTGGGAAACACTTAATTAAAACATTAATTGTTATTTATACAGCATGGCTCAGTTAGTCAAGTGCAATCCAGCTCCAACCAGACCATTCCAACTCAAACTGAGTCAAATCTCCTACCACGCTAGCTCCCACTGGTGCTTATTCTGCAGCTCACCTAATCAAATTGAAAGTCAATAAGTACCCACACACACACACAAATACACACATCCTACCACCACTCCCTCTCCTTTTCCGCAGTCTCTCTCAATCTCCCTATCTCCCTCTCTCCCTCCTTGCTCCAACACCATCTGCCTGGTAGAAGGAGCAGCTTGCCCGATCCACTGCCTCCTTTTCCCTAGAGACTGTGGCTAGTGGAGGGCCAAACAAACACCAACCATCCACCAGCTAACACGGTACCGCTCCACTGGGAATTTGGAATTCACACTCACACCAAAATACTCAATTCGAATGTTCAGAACAACGGTTATAACATTTCCTAAATAACATTAAGCTGTAATTTTGACGTTTGAGGGCCTTGTTGTTAAGACCAGCAAATGTTACTCAAAATATACAAGGATAAAAGCAAAGCCTTGTTTGTAGGATAAGCGATGATACAACAGCTGTATGTTTGTTCAAAGATATAAAGGACAAGCTCCAGTATGTCAGCTGCCCTCATATCTTAACACTCCAGGTCACCAGGCTGAGGAAACGATCAGGAGGAATTGCCATGGACCCTGCAGACCCGGCCAACCATCTGCTCCAAAGTCTTTGTGCTAGAAGGGGAGAAGAGAAACACCATTCAAAAAGTTGTATCCAGTCCAGTCCTGCACATTGGGTCTACAGCTTGCTATGTTACAGATCTAACAAAAAATATTCAGTTATATATGATATTACTTTAGTACCCTCAGTACTGGCACCTCTGGCGTAGTGTTTTTCCAGGGCCTGGTCTGGTCTGCACCTTTATGTGAAAAATTTGATCCAATATGCCCATTTAAACCTGGTATTATGCATTGCTGCTACAGACATTTGTTAAATAAGTGTGGGTGGCATTGTGGTTGCAGTGAACTTTACATGTTCTCCATGCCTGCATGGGTTTTCTCCAGGTACTCAAGCTTCCTCCCACAGTCCGAGACATACAGTATATGTTAACTGAAGACTGTTGGTGTGTCTGTAGGTTTGTCTGCGAATGACATTGGTTGTTTGTCTCTATATGTCAGCCTGGACTGCTGACATGTCCATGTCAGATCAGGGGAAGTGATGTTGGACTGGCACAAAGGTGAGTGTGACGACACAAGTTTTACCATCTCTAAAAGTGGACAGCTCCAAGTACAAATGTGAACACTCCCCAGATGCACTGAGGGCAAATTTGCAATCCTGAAACTCAGCTACATTGAAGGACTACCTACTCCACTTACATCGTCTGACCTGCTACAGTTTTATATCACTTCTGTCTATTTCATGTACATTGATTTATTAGTGTTTTATTACACACTTACTAATTCCTAATAAGTATTATATAATAAGTAGTGTATTAGTTTATTTTGCCAAACTGCTATTCATCACAGCTGTGGAGAAAGATCCACCATCAGAAGGTCTTTCTCAGTCTTTCTCTCTCTGTTTCTCTCTCTCGCTCTCTCAGCATGGACGTCCACAATGTTCATGGATTTATTGGATGTTTCTGTTTGCTCTTTTTCTTTCCTCTGAGCCCCATCTGAGTTGTGCCATGCTGTTTGGTTTGAATCTGTCCTTGGCTGTCCGTTGAGCTCCATCACCCATCTGTCTGACTACTATACCCATCCCTCTCTTTCACACACACCCCCCTTTACCCCTCTCCCTCAGTTTTTCTCTCTCATCCAGTCTCACACTGCAGCCTGGAGTCCGGCCAGTTTAGTGTTTCTCAGTGCTCTACATGTCAGCCTCCACACTATCAAATATTTAATAAGGACATAGATAGATGGATCTATCCATCTACAGTATCTTTCCACTGACTGTAGTACTTCTCTGCTCTAACCAATTAGAATAGAGGCTACATTTGCTATGATCTGACCTTGGTCTGATAGTTTTCTGTAGATAATTGCACAGCCCCTTCTTTTGAGAGCACAACACCACCCATATATACCCAACCTTCCTCCCAGCTCACTGTTGAAGCAACTAGTAAACAGTCCACAAAACATGAAGTGTAAGCTGAAAAAAAAGGTTTGGATTCAGGGATGGTATCGAGCAACAAAATCTGTAGATTTACCAAGACAGAAGTTAGAACAAGATACATGGAGAATAATAACGAAGAATCTGCACATCTTTTTCCTTTCTTAGCCACAGGAGACATCAACAAAATGAAAATTAAGTAACACTAATTGGAAGGCCAGATGAGTTTGCAGTGGTATAAAGACATTTTGTATCTTGGCAGTGTAATTTGTAGTTTTGAGGCCTATTTAGGTGACGATTCTTTAAAAAAGTGGGGGGGTTATTTTGGTTATGAGCTATAACCTCAACTATACTATGCTGCATGGATAATGTTGAAGCTCCGAGTTGAAGACATGTGGTTGTTTGATAAAATAACGACACTGAATCAATGTGTCAATCCTCAGAAACTTGTTCTGTCTCTAGACTAACCTCTTCAAAGCAGCTTATTATAACCCATTGTCACTTTTTATTTGTAGATGACAACAGACCATTACAAAACATGCCCTGTAATCTTAAGGAAGTACTTACTTAATCTAAAACACAATCTTTTACTCAACTCAACCAAGAAAGTTTATTTTGTAATTGACATTTATAAATGTATACATGAATATATAAAGAATGAAATAGAGCTTGCAGATAAAATCATATTTACTGTGTGGTGGCTCCTAACTGCTCAGAGTATGAATGCTGGTCATCTATCTGTCTGTCTGTCTGTCTGTCTGTGTGTGTGTGTGTGTGTGTGTGTGTGTGCCAGATTGTTCCAGCTCAGTTTAACCGAGGGAGAAAACCCACAAAGAACACTAATATTTACATTGCACATGGACAACTTCTATATGAGCAAATTAAACAGCAGAAATGGTTTCGTCCCAAGCTCATTGATCTGTATAAGCAGTTGGTCACTGTGTGTATGATTACTGTAAGTGGCTTCCATTTGACTTAGATATTCTCGCTGTGTTTTGTGATGTAATGATGCTTTTATCTGCAGTCTCTTTTCTCATTTCTTAGGAGTCCCAGAGAAGTACTAAAGCGCTTTTTGTTCAGGCCCGCCCACATGCTCGAACAATTTCTCCTAAATTAGACACAGAGGTACACTGTAACTGGTATATGGCATATATTAAGCATTTCGCAACTGCCTGTCCAAGTTGCAGAAGGGCAGCCCTATGCTGAAATAGCTTGTGATGAGAGGAGGGGTTTTATAATTAGTGCTTGGAGATGCAGATTACGGCCTATGGTGATTTGATCTGACCTATTTTGAAGTAAAGTAGGGCAGCAAACTGTCTTTTTACAGAGATAGGTGCCCTGCTGCAGCACTGTCTGCCTGACAGCAAGTACAAGGTGAACTCACACTCCAGCAATGACATGCTTTATCAGGATGGTTAGTATAAGTGAAATCTACTCCCTAAAACAGGATACTCATTACTAAGTATGTCCAAGAAAATGTTTCTACTCATCAACAATTGCGCTCACCTTACTTTTTACAATTTGCCTCTGCAGCCATAACGTATAGATTGGAAGGGATGGCAGGACTCGAAGTTCTGAGCAAAAGCTTGAGACAACTAAATAAAAATATTCAATTATTTTGACGAAATCGAAAATGTACTGGCGAGAGTAATTTGGTAGTTGCAGGCTGGCAATCAACAAACCAGGTTACTAATAAAATACTGATACTTGAGACTTGGGGTTTAGATCTCCATGGTACAGAGTGTTCTAGGCTAAGCAGAGCGAAGTGAATGAGCTCTTGGTACCAGGGGATACAGAGACAGGGTGGTTGGGCTGCTGGCAATAGTGAACAAGGAGCAGAGGTTTTAGTGCTGGTAACAAAGGATATGAAGGCATCTTGTGGCAGAGTGCTGAGGTTGAGATAGGCAGTGACATGCTGGCTGAGCACAGCACACAGACGGAGGTATCAGGTCATCCTGAACATTTCTCAGATTAACTTGGAGAGCAGGCAGGTAAAAAACTAGAGCCAAAGATCCAAAAATCACATACAACAAAGACAGGACTGGTTTAAGGTCGGCCGATGTAACCTCACCACTAGGTTGACCAATGTTCTTGCAGAGTAGTCATGGTTCAGCTGCTTGAGGAGGTTTGGCTGAGTGATGCAGCTCAGGTGTGTGGGATCGTTGACGAGAGATTCAGGAGACTGGAAGCCACACCCAGCCAGGTACACAAACTCAACTCAACACTTGAAAAACTTTTTGGCTGTGGATCAGGGGGTCGAGCAGTTTCCCTCTAACCAGAAGGTCGGCAGTTCAATCTCAATCCCACTCCGCATGCCGAAGTGTCCTTTCGGCAAGATACTATTCGTAGAATGGCCAATAAAAAAAAAAGCACTGTATGAATGTGTGTGTGAATGGGTGAATGACAATAAACTGTACTGTAAAGCACTTTGAGTTCTCATCAAGACTAGAAAAGCACTATATAAATACAGACCATTTACCATTTATCAAAAGCAGACATGGCCAAAGACTGAGCACAAAAATATTCTCAGACCATAGCCAGAATATTTAAAGGTAGGGTGAGTAATTTGTTTCTTTAATACTTTTTATTTTTTTGTTGAAATCCTCTCCAGGTCCCGATATACATCAATAAATAAATCCATAAAAGATGGTATGTGTGAATCCATTCAGTCTTAATGTACCTGTCTGTCACTAGCCGACCTGCCTGCCTTTGCGCACCCTGCCAGTGCTCTTTATGTGTATAAGCAGGGCTTCCAGCTGGGGAGAAATGCACTTCTGAGACTGAGACAATAGCCAGACAATTGGAAGCGAGTCACAGAAACATTTGCCTCTAGCAGTTGTAAGGCACTGAATGTGTTTATGTGTTTTGGGAGCGTCCTTTGGGTGCAGAGGGCCTGTAGGAGGGGCTGGGATGTATCAGTTGCATATTTTCAAAGTGTTGGTAGCTTGTCCCAGAATAACCTACCCTTTGCCTTAATATGGTTATTTAACATAACTTCAATCCTTAACCTCACCATAGATGTGATTTACAGGAAAAGTCTATTTTAGTATATTGGACCAACAAATTGATCAGGATTGATGATGGCTGTATCCAAATAAGTATTTTAATTACACATTTTTGATTATTTGTTTCAAGCAAAGATTTCTTGATTTTCCAGGTTTTGAAAAGGGAAAGTGAGGAGCACTCACTGTGCAGCTGGTTTTGGAGAGTGAAATGTTCGCTTTAACAATGATCAAGGAGCAGACACTGAACTATCTTACCTGGCAATAAAGTTTATTTATGATAGACCAAAAACCCATCATTCTGCAGTACAGCAGATATCAGTTGATGACCTCATGTAGTGTACTGTACAATAAGTTATTGGATAGAGAAAGTCACTGAACAATACAAATCAAATACATAAATAATTATGGTAGCTACTATTATGGTCTTTCTGAAATTTAAAGGGCGTATAGTCCATGGCCATGAAATGATACAATTTGTATTATGATATTTCTATAGCTACAGTTCCTTGGTAGGTTTTCAATCAATGAATATTCCACAAGCTTCAGTGCAAATTTATAGTAACCATGAAGATAAATGTCCTGTAACAATTCAATTAACGCATTAAATGGTCTTGCACCCACCTACATAAGCGAAACCCTGAAGCTCCACCAACCCGGCAGAGCTCTCCGCTCTGCTGGTCAGCACCTGCTAGAGGTCCTCCGATCCAGGAGCAAACAGTGGGGTGACCGATCATTTGCAGTAGCAGGTCCCAAACTTTGGAATGCACTGCCCTCTGAGCTACGCACCACCACTGACCTGCCTCTGTTCAAAACCAAGCTCAAAAAACTTACTTGTTTGATCTAGCCTTCAACTGAAACTGTTCTTGTCTCATGTTTGTTGTTTGTGTATGTTTGATTTGCTTTCATATTGTGAAGCACTTTGGTCAACCCTTGGTTGTTGTAAGGTGCTATAAAAATGAATGTTGATTGATTGATTGATTGATTAAACATTGATTTTTACAAAAACCTAACCAAGTTGTTTCTGTGCCTAAACCTAATCAAGTCATGACCATTACAGAAACATAACCATATCTTTACTTTTGTAATCATGACCCAGAAAGTATGTCTCTTGCATATCAGAGGGTTTTTTCAGATTTTTTGATGTCTCCATTATATGCCTGTTCAGAAGCCCTATTAGATCATTCCTGTGAATTGTACAGTTATCATCAGCCAGAATGAGGAATGCATTATAAATTAATAGAAAAAGTCAAAAGTATTTTCAGATTTCTCACATACCCACACACGCATCAACAACAGATGAGAGAAGCAGTGAGAGCTTTCTCCACAGACTGTACTGAGCCAGATTCACTGCTGTTGGTCTGAGGGGAGACAGGAAGGACACACACACCCAAGAACAAGAGGAGACATTTCTCCCTCCCAGTTTTCATGGCAAACAGTTGTTTTCTGAAATACTTATAATAACTCGTAATTGTTATATAATTTATATATTACAAAGTCCATGATGTGAAAGGCTTACAGGTCAACAGAAATACATATTGTAAAGCATTTTGTAACTGAAAAATACTATATAAATAAAGATATTATTGTTACTATATTCATTGCAGTCACATAACAGCAATGAGACAAATTAAGTAGAAGGAATGGCTATGGTTGTAGTGACACTAGTGTTATTGTCATTTCTACATCGTCAACGTAATTCTGAGATTACAGTGGCAGGAAAAATAAAGTGAAACCCTTGAAATGTTTGTGAACATTTGACTCAACAACCTTTTGACATATATCACATAAATAATTAAATACATTATCCAGACCTTCAGCTAATAATGCTAACAAAAGCTAACTGGAGTCATGGGACGGCAAACCTTGAGTCCAGTCAAAGAAAGCAGGTTAGAGGTGTGTGTTACTTATAAAAAACCCAGTCTAACATCTTGAAGAATCTGCTGCTGTGCGCTGTGCCTCTCAAAGTCAACTTAAAGAATTGAAATATTTATAATTGTATCAATTCATCATATTCATGTCAAAATGTACTGTATATAAATAGAGATGATTTAGAGGTAGATATTCAGCTAAGATCCAAAGGCACAAAGAATGATCAGTGACGTACAAATTAAGCGTGCACTAACATCTAAAGGCTTAAAGGAATTAATGGAACATCCTTAAATCTCTGTTCATGAGTCCAGCTACACATCATAATGTAAAGTTGCATATAAGATGAATAGTTATAAAATCCAAGGGTTCACTGACCTATTGTGTTCAAAAAGTACATTATTAGAATTTGTTTTGTTCTTAAATTTGTTCTGAAGAGAGTTCCTAAGAAAACCTCTCTTCTTAAATTGATAATTCCAAATGTCATCATAGGTCAAAAGTGCATGTCAGTTATTCATAATTAGCATAGTTCAATGCCCCACTAATGCCCAGAGAAGGGCTTGAGAGTGCAGTGCCTTGTGCAATCACTGAAATCAAAGACACTGAAAGGAACATTTAGGAAGTCAAGAATGTCTAAATGGAAATTGAAATACACTAACTGTGAAAAAAAAAATGCTGTTGTATTTGGTAGTGTCAGGAAGGGAGACAGTTATCTAAACAGTGAGTAATCTGACCAGCACATCATTGGAAACACAGCGCTGCAGGTTAACCCTCAGCTGAGCCTGTGGATATACAACCTGAGCCCGGGACACATCGGGACTGGACACGCTGATCCAGGCTTGGACAAAAATCTTTAAATAATATTTAGGTCGCTCATGATGGGTGGTGTGAGTTTTTTTACACTGCACTTACTCACGTCTGTAATTTGGAAAACAAGCAATTACCATCTGTGTCAGGGACGGACCAATACAAAGTCAGTGCAGCTTACTGTCACTGTATTTGGTCCGGTTGGGTTTCACTGCTCAGACGCGTACAGACTGTCAAATTCCAAACTTATGGCTTCAAAACAGCAGTTCACATTTGGACTGTAATGTGTTGTTATACAATGGATATACAATGATGTTTTCTTTAATAAAAATTTTTTCTTTCTTAATACTTTATAATTGTTTCTTCATCCTCTGCGTTTGTAACAATGCCAATTAATAATGTTCATCTAATGTTATCTTAGATCTACAGATACAAATGTACAAATTGTTTTTTTGCTGTCTTTTTAATTGTTGCTAAACAAATTCCCAGAGCAGATAATGAGTTTTTCTTTCTCTAATTTCTCCTCTCAGCAGCAGTCTCTCTGTCCCTCCTCTCTTCCCTCTCCTTCATCTCTTTAAAGAAGTGTTTAATGCCTCACAGTGTCTCCCCTCTCCTCCCTCACAGCTGCTGCTCTGGCTCTAGTCTCGTCTCTCTCCTTCTCTCTCACCCTCGCCTTCATCTGCCTCAGCTCTAGCTCAAACCTCACCTCTGTCTCCTGCAGGTCCCCAATATCCTCCATGACATCCAGCCGGCTCATCTTGGTGGTGGGTGTAATGGAGTTCGTGGCTGTGTCGTCTTCTGGGGTCACCGTGGAGGGCAGGGGGGATACCACAACCATATCCAGGGGAAATGAAGCAATGAGGACAGACTGCACTACCAACCACCTGGCCCAATTGCCTCATCCATCATCCACCACTTCCAAGATGCAGAAGTGGTCTCCCCCTCCATCAAGCTGATCCCAGTTTTTGGGGTTACATCAGGTCGGTGAAGGGAGGACAGCAGAAAAAAAAAACACAATCACTACAGTTTCACATTACACATTTGAAATGTCACTCCTTGCGCATTCCTCTCAGCAGACAGTGTTTCCCTGGCACTGTTGACGATGTGGTTACTGTAATATAGTAAACAGGCAAATTTATGAGACAAAATGGAAATATGTAATGATGTAAAATTATCCTCAGTTAACCTCTGTTATGAGCACCAAACATCATGAATAATAAAATGAGAAATTTCAACAGCTGCACTCCCAATTCAGTTCTGGAAGTCTGCCACTAATGTTAAATTCATACAGGGAAAAGACTGGTATTGCATTCCCTCGGTTAACTGAGTAACATACTGAGTAACATACTGAGTAACATACATGGCGTATCACCGGCATATCAACAGTGCATACACACTCTGTATGGTGATTTGTTTGACCATGACAGCTTTAGCCTCCTTGGTCCATGTTCACAAATTTAGCAGTCCCTGCCCTTCTTCTACCAAGAGCCAAGATGGTGAGTTGGAGGTGTCCTTTGTCCTTTGTGACCATTTTGAGTGCATCATCCAGGTAGGCTTCTTCTGCACGGCCTGTGATCATACTTGTGAATGTACCTATGCACTCAGAGAAGCAATTGTGACTACGGAAGTATGCAATTTCAGACACAGCATAACCTGGTCAATCATGGTAGTGGCCCTGTGAGGCTATACAGACACATTGCATTGCCGGATTTATCATTGAAACACAGTTTCAAAGTTTTAAATGACATCATACCAGTGATATGAGGACTGTATATTCATACACGGCCTGAGGATGTGGTCCTGAGCTGTGGCTTAGCTGTGATGTAAGAGAAACATCATTCTCCCTGAGAGGTGGCCACAGAGAGCAGTAATCTGCACTATACCTTCCCACTCATATGCAGCACTCTAGCCACAGAAGGGGTTATTAAGATTCAGGGCATTGAGGAGTCAGCTGGAAGTAAAATGACTTATCTCACTAGACGCTTCTCATATTCAATTCATAAAAGGTTGCAATGGGTTCTCAGGGCACAGTGAATATGTCTGTGTTCAATGGCTGTGATTGGACAAGCTTTGATACCATTCATACTGATGACTGTTTTGGATTGAGGACATCATTTGATGACTTACATGTTTCCAAGCAAGATATGCATTGTAATGAGTGTGAATGTGTAAAGCCTTTCTCTAGGTTAATGTTTCAGAGGTCGGAGACGACATTTTTATTTTTTATTTTCTTGCTAGACTGAAGACGAGGCCCATCATGCAGCAGTGAAATATACCCTCGATTTTGGCTTCTGACTCACATGCATTCAGTCTCTCTGAGCAGGCACACACGGCACATACACACACACAGACATTTATAAAAGCATCTCCACAGAGTGTAGGTGTAGAGCGTATTTTCAGGTATGGATAAAAAGCGTCTGCTAGTGTTATTGTTTCTCTGCTGACAGAGTGGCAGACAGTGTGGGAGCATAGAGAACCCAAAGGCTGACACACACCCTGATTTATATTAAAACTACAGCCAACCACTGCACATAATGACCATGTATGCAAAATATTTATTTTAACTTTCTATTTTCAGACCGTAGACTGTATATGAAGATGGACGACACATCTCCACCTCATCTCATTGTACTAAAGTGAGGCCAAAATATCTCAGAAACAGGTGCTGCCATCATTTGAGGCTTGGTATAAATCATGATGTTTCACCCTGTTTTAACTAACCAGACATACATCATTGTAATGACATCTGCTTAAAATGACAGAAACCATTATTGAGAAAAAAATATCTAATGTGTATTTAAACTTTTTTTTGGGTCCGTGTCCCATCCACTAACAAAGAGAAGGCCAGGCCTATAACAAATTCTGCAGCCGAACCAAAGAGGGAAATTGATTTAGCTTGTAATCTATCATTTCATACAGTATCTGACCCAGAACAACAGTTTGTCTCAGAGAGCAAACTAATATGGTATGATATCTCACTTGTGCTTAATATTTAGTGTTGGGCAAAAAGTTTTTGGACACTGTTATGTTTCCGTGTTTGCAGAAACATTAACACTGACAATTAACAAAGAAAGAACTCAGGGTGGACATGAGGCAGTCAAAGAAAAAAGGTTTATTTACAATTTAAATGATGGTAAACAACAAATGTAGGTTTGAAACATGTGGGGGAAGGAGGAACTGTGGGGGTTGTGCCAAACAAAATACACAAAGTACAACAAAATAGGGCCTAGCTCAACTCTATCTGTAAGAAAGTAAAATAGCACAAAAGGCCTGACTATCTTATATTAAGTGTCTGAAACTAATAAAAGTACATCAGTGGCAACAACCCATAACCTAGTGTACATAACAATTTCTTCCTACGTATGAGAATGTATAGGGTACCCCAGCCTTACCTTAGTTCAACCTCCCCACCACAAACCTTGCGTGACAGAAAGCAACAGAGGGAGAACAAAGCAAAAGAGAGGCTTTTAACACGGTGCCCTCTGTCTCTGGTTGGCTACTTGGCTGAAGTGTGAGCCAATCCACAGATCTTCTGGAGCTGGCAGCCAATCTTCCACTTCTCACCTGCAGGACAAAGGGAGGAGAGAGCAAGGGAGGGAGAGAGAGATAGAGAGAGAGAGACCCCTGCACACACACACTCAATACACGTAACAGACACATTTTAGATCCACTGTTAGTGTTGAGTGAGCATCCCTCTCCCTGTGAATGTCTCTAAACCCTGTTCAAAGCTCTGGCAGAATAACAGAACACAACTGTTCCCAATATAAGCAAACAGTTTCCTGTAAATAATTATCTACAAAAGTGCCTTAGTAGTCTTTCAATACTGAAGAGTTAACCAGTGAAAACCAATGATTACATTTTTTAATGTATATATTGACCTATTACAGGGAGACCCATTCTTCATTTACTAGTGTTTTTTTTCATACTTTTGCTGCTTTTTATGCAATTGTTCTTTCATGTCCTTAGCTGTTATTTGACAATTTTCTGACTATTTGGTTGTATATATATTTATTATTTCATGATACTTTAATTTAACTATTTTATTTTCTCTATCATATCATATTCTAAAAAATGTGATATTAAATTGTATCCTTTGGTACATATGATATAGTTTGGCATTTCTGCAAAGCTATTTCTCTTTTTGAATCACACTTGGGAACCTTTAGAAGTGTTTCCAGCTGCGATGATGCTTGAGATTGGACTTTTTCATCCCTGTGAGTGTGTCCCTGCAAAGTATACACAGTGATTTCTTTCTTACTTCAATAACAAAAAATGTTTCTCCAATTCTCTTGTAAAGTGCAATATTCTAAATCCCCTTCTCTTTTCTTGACAGTCCCTATGATGCCGGTCAGTAACGATAACATAACATAACAGCTACAGTACATAGATATATTCAATCCACCCTGACAGTGACCTGACAGATATACAGCCAGAACGTCTCACAAAATAATGGCTTAAAACAATTACATAACAATAATTAATTAAAATAATGACTGTGATTGTTTTTCTGAGCTGCTTTTGTATTTATAAATTCTATCACAGCACGTATACAGCTGAAGGTTCTCCACTTCTGCTTTAGAGGCTACTGACATTAAATCACCAAATGCATTGCTCCCCCTGAAAGCATCACTGAGTGCCAAAAAAGTAACTGCATCTGTTTCCTTGTCTAATTCTCATTGGAAAATAATCTGATTCCTTCAAGTAGAGGTAAAGTATTGAATGAGCAGTACATCATTTGGCATGGGTTTTATTGAAGGCAGTGCAACAGGTCAAGTGGCCAAATCACTCAATCATGTATTCTTCCAGATGAATGTTTTTCATCATTGTTCTCAACTTTTGGTTTCAGTTTTTGCCATGAAAAAATATGTCATCAAGAACAATTTCTCTCAATAACTTTCCTTAACAACATTAACTCCCATCATCTCTATTTAATCACATCTATGGGAGTGATGAAGTAAAAGCCTAGATCGAAAACACTAACATGTTCTACTGTTGCAGTAAACATTTGTAGAGTTGTCTGACTGAACTTCATTAGTATTCCAGCTGTAGTGTACATCATGTTGGCAAAAGAACCTGCAATTATTCATGAAGATAAAACCTCTTTCCCAGCAGCTGCAATCATAATCAATATTTATATTTGTGGGACAGGAGAAATCTATCCACTAGTCAGATTAGTCAGGGACAAATGATGTACTCAAACACCCAGACCAGTACATACACACCTAAATCCATCCCTGTATATCAGAATGAATTTATATTCTATAGACATAAGTCTTTTACATCTGATATAACAGATATGCTGCACTCTGGTTAATTTAAATATTATAGATCAGATTATATTAGACATATTAAACTGTATTAGATTTAGCAGCCAAAGACCAGTTTCATAAATTGTAAATCATCAATCATTGCAACTGAGGAAGTGAGTGAGGAAAACACAGAGGAGGGAGAGAAGTCTGAGAAATGAGCAAGAGATAAGAGGGAAAGAAAGAGAGTGTCCAAGCTGTTCAGCTGTTACGGTGCGTTAAGGTTGTATATTCTACTAATAGTTATAAATATGAGATGATGAAAAAAGAATAAACAGAGTGCACATTTTTCAAAAGTATGCATCGTATGTAATTTGATGTAATGTAATTTAATTTATCTGAGTACTTTGTGTATCACAACCAAGAGATGGAGGACCCAAGAATGCACAGTTCAACAGGCAGAGTAGCAAATACAGTGGTTTATTACAGTCAGGGTCGGTACACAGGAAGTCAAAAACAAGGGAACAGTATCCAAAGGAGCAGGCAAAGAGAATCACAGCAGGAAAAACAGACGATGGTCATACACAGGAAAACTCACAAAGGTATAACGCTGGTAAGTGGCAACACGAGGAACACACAACGAACTGGCAACCTAAGGGAGGACACACAGGGTTAATATACACAGACAATCAGGAGACAACAGGATGCTGGTGAGACTGATTAGGAAAGAGCTCCGGCAGGCTCTATCTGCCACAGCGAGTCATGACACTTTGAGATTATTTTCAGCTGGACCTGTATTGTGTGATTTTATTGGCTGGTACCTGCGCTGCCACATTAAAGTTGAACTTTTCTCAACCTTTAACATACACAATTGTAGCAACAAAGGAACCACAATCCAATTTGGCAACGCATGACGTCACTGCATTCAATGTGAAGAAGCAGCCATGCAGCTGTGACGACCCTTTCCAGTCTGCCTGCCTGTCTCATTCTGCTCTCTTACAGAGCTGGCAGGTACCTGCGGAAGTTATAAAGGACCGCCCTTTGCAATCACGGGTCTCTCAGCTGGGCCTGCTGCAGCCACATGTCCTTTGTTTGGTTTGTTGCACCTTACAAACACACACTACATCATGTTCTCACCCATCCACACACTCCAAACATGACTGACAACCTTCCTACTTACACACCCCATTAGTTACTTTGCTTGCTTGTTTAGGTTAAATAAACTATTTTTGCTTGTTATATCTCTGCGTGGCCTCCCTTTTTGTTGCCGGCCTTGAGCCAGGTGGTAACAGCAGCTGAAACCTCCAACACAACTGTGTGAGAGCCAACTGACACAAGTGATTAGATAATGCTCTTTCTTTTCTGATTGTATCTGTGTGTAAGCTGTCAGTCTGCATTGAAGCTCAGCAGCTTAATTCGAAAAAAAAACTATGCGACCTGTGGAGCAAGACATAAAATTTTCCAGTGAGCTGGTGAAGAAAAAGACTATTCAAGATGTTAAACTGTGGACTTGAACAAGAATGTTTATTGCTTTTCAGTAGGATGCTTCAGAGCCCCTATTCCACTGGTCAAAAACATCTGGATTTTGTCTGCAGTGGGAATAGATACAATTGGCATTCACTCAAGCATCTCCATGGCTCTGCAGTAGACAGGTTTTTATCGGTTCCGATCGGCAGTGATGGTAACACCCGGTTTAACGTGCTAATTTGGCAAGACATCAAGTAAAGAGACCACCTCAGTTTTCAGTGTGTTGTGATGTTGAAAAAATTAGAAAGGCAAACTCTATTGGCAATGGGAAAGGAGTCAGTCACTTTTTTAAACGGGTTAACCCACATTTAAAAAGTAAAACCCAAACACCTGTTAATTATGGTGTAAAAGAGGTGTAGGTTTCACTAGGACCAGTTTTATCATAACACCTCAATAGTGACTCCCTAAGCCCAGTGACAGTGTGTGGCATAGCAGTTGACTTGTCTAAGTCATGAGAGCGGGTGAAGGATGTGTGTTGAGTGTGGGGGCGGGGCTGTGGGTTGACGGCAGCACAGGAAAAATGAGCTTGCATGATGTATGTTTGCAACTGCCAATCAGATTTCTTTGTGTGAGTCATGATTATTAAGCCTCCCAAAAACTAAAACTAAATATATGGCCCCGGCTAAATTATTCTCAAACTATTTTACTTCTAAAGCAGATCCCAGATATGTCAAGACGTGGGACAGAAGTGTATTGTGAATAAAGACATATGCCTGCCTACACAAGCCTGGTCTGTGGGGAGTAGTTGGGTCAGTTGTGAGTGCTATGTTAGTTCAAAGTGTGTGTTGGTGTTGTTAGCAGTTAAAATATCCAACAAACCAAACCGTGAAGCGAGGAGTGAGGAGAGAAAGAGACAATAAGAACAGGCCAATAGTTTTGGCCTTGGCGAGACCTACAGGTGCCACCACATTACTCCAACTATATATCCTCCATGACTGCAAGCTCCTGGAGGAAGAGATCAGCTGACAAACCAGAAAGGGAGAATACCTAAATCTGTCAGGTTGGTTTTAAAAAAGTGGGTTTGTTGGACTTCCGCGCTTGAGGGGTGGGACCACTCTCTACTCTAGTGTTCCACAGTTTACCCTGTTGTATTTTCCTTGGAATTTTGTTGTCCCATACTCTGAATCTTGTTTCACAGATTTCCACCCCTGACAACAACAGCAGCATACTGTGGGAAACACTGAATACTTGTCAGCATTCATCGTCCAGTGTGTTCAATCAATTGTGCAGAGAAGCAGAGATGTGAGTGGCAGTGAAGGGACATGTCTCTGGATTCCTTCACTCTCGTGCTAATCTCTTTGTTTCAACCCTTTTTCTCCTTCATAATGTGCTTTTCGATTTATACCGGCAACTCTTTTGTTGTGTCGCTGTCCTCTCCCCCTGCCACTGACCTCTCTTGACCTTTGTAAGCTCCCATGATGTCACGCTATAAGACCAAATTACCTTTGACCCCGGGGAGCTGTGAGCCTCAGCCACTGACCAGTGGGAAAGTGGAACCTTCTTGTTGGGCGCACACACACACAATCAGTGAGTGAGCTGTGGGAGAGGTGGGAGGAGGATCTCCACCATTATTGAGGCTACTCCACAGACAAGAACTTTGCTCTTTCTATAATCAGAGGTCACCTCTTTGTTCAGACCCTTACTTCACTACAATAAA